GTTTAGTGTGGTAGAGGCTTGGGAGCTATGCGTGATCCATCGAGGGATGAGGAGCAGGTGTCTGGATGGAGGCATTTGTGTCCTTGCTTCCTGTGGTTGCATCTGGCAGGATGGTCTGCCCTAGGTGCTGAATCTGATGGGGCCAGGGTCTCCCAATCCACCTGCACACCCCACACTCTGCCCCATTCTTGCCAACCAGGGGCCTGGCTTGAAAGCCCCACTGCATCAGGGTGTGAGTCTGTGATCAGGGCAGATGGGGCAGGCGTACCCAAGGTTCTGGTGGTGACTCAGGAGGAATCCCAAATGTCTGCCCTAATTGTCTCCCTCCTCCCCACCCCCAGCTGCGGCGGAGCCCCATCAAGAAGGTCCGCAAGTCCCTGGCTCTTGACATTGTGGATGAGGATGTGAAGCTGGTGATGTCCACACTGCCCAAGGTGCTGTCCTTGGTAAGGGGTCTGAGAGAGAAACGCCCCTCCACCCCCGCCCCCGGCCGCCTCACCTGCTCCCCTGCCCAGAACTACAGAGGGCTCCTCTGTCCCACGGAGGATGGAGTCTCGCTGGAGACCCTCTGCCTTTGGAACCCTTTGGCTGTGGGGGAACCCTGGCAGCAAAGTGGCCCAGTGGTTCTCAGACCAGGCTTCTGGATATCAGGCTCTGCAGTGAGGGGCTGATGGAGAAGGTGGGGCTGGGCACCCACCCCCAGATTCAGTCAAGATAGCTCTGCATGTGTCTTTCACAGAAAGGTTTATTTGGCAAGAGTTACATTGCTAGAACATGTTTGAAAACCATGGATCTGGGTCCTTAGCACCTTCCATTATATTCTACTCATGGTGGTGATGTGCAGAGGGTCAATGGTAGGCTTAAGGCACAGCCAGGTGGTTGGGGCACACCAGCCCTGGGATGGGTGCTCTCCAGGTCCCATTGCTGAGCTCAGGAATGGGGCTGTTGCCTATGCAGAGCCTGCCCCCGGAAAGCTTGCCAAACTGTTGATCCCTCTCAGCTGACAGTTGGATGAGTTTCCCAGTGTGAGGCAGTGAGAGGTGTGGCAGGAGTCATGAGACAAAGGATTGCCTGATCAGATCCTGCAGATATGGGGACTTAGGACTGCTGTAGCCATAGCCCTTGCGGAGAAGCATCACTGGGTGAGGAGCCCCACCAGGTTGGGGACTTAGTGCCGTGCATCCAGACCTGTAACAGGCATCACCGTGGGCATGTAAAATAATTCTCAAACGGTAAAGAAGTATAGCAAGTACCTAAGAGCATGGGATTTGGGGTGGGGTGGATCTGATGGAGTCCTGGCACTGGTGACACTGGCTCTTGCTCTCTGGGATCTCTTAGGTTCCCCGAGCCTGACTCTTGCCTGTCATAAGAGCACCTAGCCCAGCAGACTGTTAGGAGGGTAAAGGAGAAGTGCTGGGAGACTGGAGGGCCTGGAGGTGTTTTGTGCAGCTGTGTGTATGTGCTGGTTGATGCTGCCATCTCTGACTGCCCGCCTGTGGATGTTTCTGATCCCAGGAGAAACTAGAGCACACCGCTCCCCCCCCCCCCCCGCCCCTGCCTGAGGCTGTGGGGGAGGAACCAGCTCCATGTAAAAGGGACCAGCACTGTTGGGCATTTATTAGGTGAAGGCTCTGAAACAGGCACTTTACAGAGAAGTCTCCATCTGGAAGAGGATACTGAGGCTTAGAGAAGTTAATGTCCTGCCCAAGATCCAACAGCCCAGAGGTAGTGCTGCTGGGTTATGACTAGTTTTCTTCCTTCCCACCATGCTTGTGGCAGAAGGGTGAGTCTTTGGCTTGGTTTTGATTTCAGCCGACAAATGTCCTATCGAGCTCCTCCAGCCTCTCTGTGCCAGGCATCAAAGAGGACAACAGCCTACTTAATGAGGGCTTCCTGCAGGCTAAGCCCGAGAAGCCCATGGCGGTGCAGAAGTCCCGAAGCCACTTTCCAACACCTGCCCCTGTGAGTGCTGGCCACGAATGTGGTATTCCCCTTGGGGATTTTGCATAGACTGTTGCCTCTGCCTGAATGCCCTTCTGAGGCTCTGTTTGCTTGATTAACTTACACTTCAGATCTCAATCTGGACATCACACCCTCAGGGAGCCCATGTGCTGGAGACCTGCACCCCCTTCCTGCCCCCCCAGCCGTTTTATGGTGTGGTCTCGTAACTAGGTCATCGTCTCTGTATTTAGTTGCTTAGCACATGTCTGTCCTCAAAGGCAGATGTCTATCTTGATGTCTGCTGTGGCTGCTCGCACCTCAGTGTCTATATGTATGAATCTCTTGCTGTTCCTTCCCACCAACCTGCTTGGCTGTAGCTTTGCCTCGTGAGGAGGCTGGTGCCCACAGCCAGGGGCACAGACATGTTGCCTGGTGCAGCCTCCTTGCTTTACATCTGAGGAAGCCCAGAGACAGGACCGACTTCTCCAGGGCCACCAGGAAGGTGGAGGGAACACAAGAATACTTGTGGCTTCAAAAGGGAGGGTCATAGAAATGTCCCCCACCCCTCTGGACAGGCTCACAGCATTCACTGAGAGCATGCTGTCCCTAGATGGTAACTCACTTGCCTCCTCCCAGATGACCAGCGCCTGGAAGACGGTGGCCTGCGGGGGGACCAGGGACCAGCTCTTCATGCAAGAAAAAGCCCGGCAGCTCCTGGGCCGCTTGAAGCCCAGCCACACGTCTCGGACCCTCATCTTGTCCTGAGGGGCTTGGTGCTCATTCTTATGTTTACAGGGGGTTGGGGGGACCAAGGTTGGTCTGTGAATTTGAGAATCACACTCAGATGACCGCCTGCAGGGAGCCTTCTGCCGCCAGCCCCTCTCCAGACTGCTCAGGTGGAGGCAGAGCAGGGCCACCCACTGTCCTGTCTCCAAGTCCAGCTGTGGCTGTGGGCGGTTCCTGGTGCTAACAGAACAAAGTCCCACCCCTGGGCCTGCCTGGTCCTCTCCCCAGTGTCACAGGGAGTCCCTTTAGCTTCTCCCAAGCCCTCGTCAGGCCTGGCCTCATCTCAGACCCCTGATTAGGACGGGGGACGTGGCCAGCATGCTCATTCCCTCAACCTGTTAGTACATTTTCTTGAAAGAATAAAATTGCCTTTTTCTTTGTGCTGTTGTCTACTCTGTCTTCCTCCTGGACGCTGCTTGTGCTTTCCCAGTCACTGTGGTTCCCTGGTGACTGTTGTTGGGGTCTTGAGGGATGTGGAGACCTAGGTCCTCATCCTCAGAGCATTGCCTTGTCTGCACATCTGGACATTCTTCCCCCGAGGGGCCCAGTGTCTTGGGGGCAGTTTCATCTGTGGGCGTCTCAAAGCTCTGAGGATTCTTGGCTGTGGGAGGGGAGGGTGCGTTAGCATCCTGCTTGGCCTTTGGCATGGCCCTGCCCCCAGGTGAGACCAGTAAAGAAGTGAATGGCAGCTGGACAGAACCTTCTGGCACAGTAGTCTTAACTTGGCAAGGCCATGGCAGCAGTTGGAGCTTGGGCTGTGGTCCACCCTGATCATGGTGCAGTGGGATGACTGGCACTTGGCTGGAATCTGGGGATTGAAGAGGGGTGGGTGCCAGGTCTGAGAAGGTCTAGACTGGGGAGTGAGGTATTATTCATTAGTAGGGTTCATGGGATTTGGCATGTGGCCATCCTTGGGGGCTGAGGTCTCAGTTCACCACAGGACGGGCATCTGCCTGGGACAGACCCATCTCTACACTCTGCTTCAGTGCCTCTGTTTCCCAAGGGAGACTTGAAGACCAATCCTCTTGCCTGGGGCCCTGTCCTGTAAAGAGGAGGACTGGGAGTTAGTCTGACTCTGACACACCCCTGTCCTGTTGAATTTGTACATGGGGTCTTGTCGCTTAGCATGGCAGAGCCCTCCTCAGGTGACCCCCGGTTTGAGCCTGGCTAAGTCCTTCCTGCACCTCCTGTGGCCAAGCCAGATGCTCCAGCCAGTTCTGTGGCAGGGCCACATCTGCCACATGCCCGTGCCTTTGTTGATTTCCTGGCCTGGACCCCTTCCCCCGCTCCCCACCAACTCCTTCCCCCAGGGACCTGTAGATCCTAGGCTTCATCACTGAATGATCCCCGCAGGGCTATCAGCATTGACAGGTGACCCCAGTGAGGGACTAAGGGACCTTCATATCTAGGGTTCACTGTGACTCGGTAGGACACCTACATCAAAATCGGATGCAACAAGCCTTTGAGACCACCTGCCCTCCAGTCCTCCCACCCTAGATTTATCATAGGCTCCCAGAGAGCTGTTGTTAGGCAGGTGGTCAGTGGCTGCACCTCAGTGAGCTGGCCTACAACCCACCAGGGGCTTTCTGACAGTGCCTGCTCCCGGCTGCCTCGTCCACCTATGCCCCGGGCCTGTCCTGAGGCTCCCTGCTAATTGCAAACATGTTAACTTGCCACCTCTGGCAAACTCTGCACTGGAGCTGTTCTCTGCATGCAGTAAGTGAACAGGCATCGAGGGTCCCCCGTGTGCCTGGTGCTGAGGATACAAGAATAAACGCCAAGACGCTTCCAAACAACCTTATTCTCACAGAGCTTAGATTCTAGAGAGGGCATAAGCCAACATCTGTACACAAGCCAGAGGGGCTTTGAAGAAAGAAAGCAGGGGAAACATGAATGGCATGGGGGCCAGGCTGCCTGCTAGGAGGAAAGGGAGGCTTGGGTGAGGAGGCCAGATGCAGCCCCTGGCCACCGTGGGGTCACCACGTGGGCCGCGGGGACTTGTTTACCAGGGTCGGTGCTGAGGGCGCCTTGCGATTTGATTGGAAGTGTGGGAGCACACATTGCTCCAGTGGGGTCTGCAGCCCCTGGCTGGCCTGGGGAACTTGGTCAACCGGGTTGATCCAGGGCCCATTGTTTCCTAGGCCAGTGCGACAAGCAAGAGGGAGTAATGATGAGATGCTGAGGTGCCGGGTACCTGACTTCAGGGACGGAGTAGGGCAGAAGACAGGCGGGAGGGAAAGGCGGGATTCAATTAGGATGGCAGAGGCTGAGTGTCCTGACAAGATCCAGATGGTGGCTCAGTATCTGCTGGCTCACATGGCCTGGAGGTGAAGTAGACAGGGTCAGAGGAACAGAGGTTGTGGGAGAGGATTCTGGCAACTGCCCTCTAAAAATTACTGCTTCTGGCAGCCACGCCCCTGCACGGGTCACGTGACTTACGAAGCCCAATGGGAAGCCCCTGATTGCCGCGTGAGGGATTGTGGGAAAGCCTGCTGAGAGAGGCGGGAATGACCAGGTGACTCCAGGCGCGTGAGCGAGCACATCCTAAGCCATCCAGCGTCACCTGATCTGGCCCAGTCCGGAGCTGCTCGGCTGACCACAGACTCTTGAGAAATAGGAAATCGGTATTGTTTTAAGTGCCACTAAATTTGGGGGTGGTTTGTTGATACGGGCGCTGTTGCACAGTCAGCAGACGTTGGTCAGGTGTCCTGGCCCTCACGGAGCGGGAGGCCACAGCCGAGAGTTCAAGCCCCGGCTGGACCAGCACCAGGGTGGAAGAGCAAGGCGTGGCAGTGAGCAGCCCGTATGGCAGTCACGAAGAACTCCGAATGCGAAAATGGTGTTCTCAGCTCGAGGTTGCTGCTGGGGTTCGGGAGCAGGCTAGGCGGCCCCTGGGAGGAGAGGGGCAGGTGGACATTGCGGGACGCCGTGGGGACTTACGTTTAGCTACAGGGCGTCTGTATGATGTTTGAGGTATGTCGTGCAACATTTATTTGCATTTTATATCTCCCCTTTAATAAAGGGAATTGTCTTCTAAGATGTTTTAATACATTTTTGCCTATTTTTTATTTTTAAAAGCCTCACATGAAATTCAAGTGACATAGAAGTGTATAAACTAGAATGCAGAAGTTCCCTCTCATCGATACACCCTCATTTTCCTCAGAGGTGACCACCACTAACGGTGTAATGAAATGCTTCCCAGATTCTGCCATGCACCTGAATCACAGTAGGATCCTGTTAAAAGGCAGACTTTGGTCCAGGAGGCTTTTCAGGCAGGGCTTGGGTTTCTAATGAGTTTCCAGGTGATGCTGAGTTGGGGACTGCACTTTGGGTAGTAGGGATCAATGGTACTAATCATTCAGTTGATCAAAATCAGTGAGATATCTGGGGCCATTGCTATCTTGTCTTCTTCTGGGTCTCTACAACATCTCCTAGAGTTTCACTCACTCTAAGAACTCAGTCTTGGCAGATTCAGGCCAGCCCTGGCCATGTGGTTTCCAGGATGATAGCTCCCTGGACCCCTTCCACCTGCCCCTGATTCTCAGGCAGTGGGACATCCTCTTGGGAAGGGCCTGTCTAGTAGCAGTTACACCTGTATTGTACTGGCTTATTGTACATTATTGACTCTCCCATTTGCATGTAATATCCAAGGGAGCAGGGATGATACCAGCCATGTTCACGGCTTTATCCCCAGCACTGATTAGTGACTGGCACATAGTAGGTGCTCAACAAATATTTGTTGAATGACTATGAAAACCAGGAGGGATCAGTGATGCTGTGGCCATTGTTGGGCATTCATGAGCTAAGGATCTCATGTTGGACTACATGAGGTGGGGTTGTCCTCTTGCCAAGACCAACGAAAGATCTGACTTTCTGCTATGTGACCATAGGGCCTGACCAAAAAGTGTCTGTCTGAGAGTTGTATGTGTATCTTGAGAGTCCCCCACTTCTTCCATTCCAGCCACCAGAGGTCCTTCCCAGAGTCATACCCCACCTTTTCCCAGAGGCAGGCTTCCCTGTCCCAGGCTGGACCATGTCATCCATCGTCACTTGTGCTGGAGTGCCCAGAGATTAAACTGACTCTGAAGGCCTGATACACAGTCTCTGCTCATGACTGATAATCACAGATCCCTTCTACCTGCCAGACTCAGTTTTGTTCCCTTTTTATTGTGGTTTAAAACATAACAAAGTTTACCATCTTAACCTTTCCTAAGTATACAGTTCAACCATGTTAACTACATGCACATTGTCATGCAACAGATATCTAGAATTTTTTCATCTTCTGAAATTGAAACTGGACCCATTAACTCCTCATTTCCCCCTCCCCCAGTCTCTGGAAACCACCATTCTACCTTCCATTTCTATGAATTTGACTACTCTTAAGTATCTTGTATAAAGCAGAATCATATTGTTTTGTGATAGCTGATTTAACTTCACATAATATCAAGGTTCATCCCTGTTGTGGTTTGTATCAGAATTTCCTTCCTTTTTAAAAAATTCTTTTTAAGTTTATTATTTTTTTGAGAGAGAGAGCACACTTGGGGAAGGGGCAGGGAGAGAGAGGGAGAGAGAGAATCCTAGGCAGGCTCTGCACCACCAGTGCTTGGACTCACGAACCAGACTCAAAATCATGACCTGAGCCGAAGTTGGATGCCTAGCCAACTGAGCCACAGAGGCACCCCAGAATTTTCCTTTTTAAGGCTGAATAATATTCTGCTGCATGTATAGACCACATTTTACTTACCCATTCATCTTTCTGTGAATGGACACAAGGTTGCTTCCACCTCTTGTCAGTTGTGAATAAGGCTGTCAACATGGGTGTGCAGATATCTCGAGATCCTGTTTTCAGTCCTTTTGGCTGTATACCCAGAAGTGGGATTGATGGATCATATGGTAATTCTTTTTTTTTAATTACAATTTTTTTAGTGTTTATTTATTTTTGAGAGAGAGAGAGAGAGAGAGAGAGAGAGCACGAACAGGGGAGGGGCAGAGAGAGAGGAAGACCTAGGATCCAAAGCAGATTCCAGGCTCTAAGTTGTGAGCACAGAACCCGATGTGGGGTTCAAACTCATGAACCGCAAGATCATGACCTGAGCTGAAGTCAGACACTTAACTGACTGAGCCACCCAGGCTCCCCTAATTTTTTTTTTAATGTTTATTTATTTTTGAGAGACAAAGTGCAAGCAGGGGAGAGGCAGAGAGAGGGAGACAGAATCTGATGCAGGCTCTAGGGGTCTGAACTGTCAGCACAGAGCCCGTTGTGGGGCTTGAACTTGCTAAGCATGAGATCATGACCTGAGCCGAAGTTGGATGCTTAATCAACTGAGCTGCCCAGGTGCCTTGGTAATCCTATTTTTAATTTTAGTTGTTTATATTTTGTTTCACTTAGGTTTTTGGTACTTCCAGGAAAAGCTGTGTGCTGGGCTCTTAGAGCTTTTGCAATGATGGTGTGACTCTGTCACCACCTGGTGGCCATTAGTGTTTTTGCAGCAGCAGGTAAAGTGGGCCAAAGAAGTTTTTTTAGGTCTTGGAAAAGTCCTTGAAGCATTTTTCTGTTTTTCAGGCCTTCTCTCCAGCATCCTCATCAAGCAGTTGTCTGACCTTTGCTTGAACACCTCCACTGATTGGGAGAGGTGGTTTTATTACTTATCAGCCAGCTCCATTGTTGGACACCAATTGTGAAGAAAAGGATTCTTTAGAGAAAAAATCCTCCCCCTTAGTAATATCAAATAGGAATAACTAAGGTGCGTTGGGAGCTGGTTTGTGGGGAAATTGGAGACCCAGGAAAGGTATTTGATAGGCCAGGATGAGCTTGAGAGCCTGACTGCCAGAATTAGCCATTTTCTCAGCAGACCCTAGCATGAATCAATCTGTCCTGTTTCCATAGGTCACCAAGTCTCTGATTTAGAAATGACAGTGATTCAGCCTCCCCTAAAGATGGAGTTTATGTTTCCACCTTAGGCCATATGTGTTTTAAAATGATTAAAGCTGATTGGGGCACCTGGGTGGCTTAGATGGTTAAGCATCTGACTCTTCATCCCAGCTCAGATCTTCATTTCATGGTTGTGAGTTCAAGCCTTGCAATGGGCTCCATGCTGGGTGTGGAGCCTACTTAATAATAAGTTAATAAAGTAATTAAAGCTGAGTTTCAATCTGGGCTAAGAATGAAACTTTTCACTGATGTAGACCAGTGGTCTCAGCTGGTCAGGATGAAGGTGTTTTACGTGTATGTTAATTAAGGCTGCCCTATAGGTATCTAGGTTAAAGTATGCACCAAATGGAACAGTCTGACAAGGACTGGTGTAAAGCCTGAGTCGCAAGTGCATCTTCAGAAAGGCACAGTTGAGAATATGTTTGTCCCCTCTCTGGGAAAGAGTCCCTGCCCCCTGCCCAGTGAGCAGCCTGGCCTGGTATCCAGTAGGTGCTCAGTAAATGTCTCATTCTGCCATGAAGTGATGTGGCAGTGAGAAAGGCCTTGGGAAGCTGGGACCAGAGGGGTAGGGGAAGCTTTGTCATTTTTTTAGTGTTGATTTCTATCTTAATTGTCCTGTGGTCAGAGAACATAGTCTCTGTGGTTTCAAGTCTTTGAGATTTGTTGAAACTTACTTTATGATCAAGCATACAATCAATTTTGTAAGTGTTCCTCATGAGTCTGAAAAGAATGTATAGTCTTCAGGCATTGAGGGCAGTGTCCCATTTTTGACACATGCTAATCCTATTGTTTACATGTCCAATATCCTGGTTTTTTGTCTGCTTTTTGTAAACCTAGATTAGTCAACCTCCAAATGATGCATGGTAAGAATGTTGTTTCAAGCAGCTGAATGTTGGGGTGGTTTGTTACTCAGAATCATTATATGACAACTAGCTGATACACAAGGTAGACTTGTGTTCACTAGAAAGCCCTAGAAAATAATGCACCCGGGGCGCAGCTGGGTGGAGGAGGAACTTAGGAGACCTGGAGTTCCCAGAACTGGACTGGAAATGAGTGGGATGAAGGGTTCTAGAAGCCAGAGCCATGTGACTGTGCCTATGTCTTGATTATTCCCTAGTACATGGGGCAAGCTTTCCAGGGCTCTTCTGACTTTGGATCAGACAGACCTAGATGTGAATCCCAGCCTGGCTGTTACTGGCTATGTTTCTTTCCTGCTCTGAGCCTTGGCGTCCTCGTGATAAAATGGGGAGAATCCTTAACCTTTCACATTGTTGAAGGGGCTGGAGAGAACACTGGCACACATCTGGGGCTTAGAAAATACGGGCTCTTAGCGTTGCTACTACAAAATGCTTTCTCATTCCTTTCTCATGCTTAAGAAACCATGCAGAGGAGGAGTTCGTATCCATGCTTCAGTGGAGTGCTCCAAGGGGAAGTTACCAGCTAGGGCCTGGGGCATGACTTGAGCCACTCTTCACTTGCAGGCTCGCACTTCAGTGTGCCCTGTTCTGTGTCATCACTTGTTTCATAGTTATCAGCCAGAGAAGCAGTGTGGTACAGGAGCATTAGGTATGGGTTCAGTTTTTAAAGACTTTCCATAAAAGTTCAACAGACAGACAAGTACACAAATCCCAAGTCTACAGCTGGATGAATCTTCACAAAGTAAACACAGTCATGTAACCAGCACCCACATCG